ACTGAAAGCCCATGAAAAGCGAGAATTTCTAAGATGATCATTATTTCAGATTTACTTCCAGAACACATTAATTTGCTTCCCTTTCCATTTCAATCCACATCATGGCAAACATCTGCTGAAAATACATGCTGTCTCCATCTGTAAACCACTCCAGCTAGCTGAACAAGTTTCTCCCATCCAGAACCCCACCCCCACCCCCACCCCCACCCCACTGAAGAGCACATGAACGACCTGGGCAGGAGAAATGAATGTAAAATTAGGCCTGAGACCAGATTAGCCCTATCTACTAATCTAACCCGCACTTGATACCAAGCCAACACTCCTCTTCAGGGAAAGAGCTTCAGGAAAACAATATAGAGGCAGGCAGAAACAAAGGGGTGGGGTATTGCTGGGAGGCATTTAGAGATAAGTTGCTCCAGAGTGTCAAGAGATACACAGCCCCAGGACGGCTTAGAAGCCTGGATGGCTGGTAGAGTTGGTGGCAGTTGGTCTTAGAGCACAGGGCTTCTGCCTGGCTCCCAGGACTCTTCAATGGCACAGGCCTTCCTGCCCATACCCCTCTCCTTTGCCTGTTTGTTCTGATACTAACTAGTATATTAACTGCCCCCTGCCCCATATTAAACCAGCTTTACTATGAGTAGGCTACTTAGTGGTCTGCAGAGGACAACTCAGCCTAGCTATTTTAGAACCATTTAATAAAATGTCCAGACACCTTCAGTATACTAAATCCAACTTCATGGCTTGACCCAGTAAAGTCACCTCTTAAAACTGAACTGTCAAAGCTCTGTTCACTTACTATATAAACAGATCCAGTGTATATTCATAGCATCTAACATAAATATTTTATAAGGGCCATGGTGTCGGGGAGGAGGGAAGTCAGGAGAGGGAGGATGGTGGGTGGCTGATGAAATTGGGGGGAAAGTGGAGATAATGGAGACACTGGGACTGGGGAGGGAGAAGGGAGGTCAGGTGGGAGGAAAAAAAGAGTATAGATGAATGACTCTCAGAGGGCTAGGGAACCCAGAGGGAGATGTGATGCCCCTGAAACCCCACGAGAAATGCACATACAGTGTTCTAAATGTTAGTGCATATGTATACCTAGGGGCTGTTTGGCAAGGAACACAATGCCAGACAGAAGAGACCTCCCTTCCAGTGGTTGATGAGAGTGATCCAGGAGACTCCCAAAATAACACAGGTTATTGCCAAAGCTCCTAGTTATCTCCCAGAACTAGTAGATAAGACCCTACTGCCAAAGTCAGGACATACTTTGGATATAGGACTTGGAACAATGGAGCAGGAACTGACCTGGAAGCCTTCTACTTGAAGTTCTCATAATACTAGATGATAATATGTAAACTGCTAAGGGAGAAAATCAATCAGTGGTCCAACCCAACCCTAAAGCCTAATAACCATAATGACTGGCAAGGCAAACTACCTGTATTGGTGCAGTAGTGACACTGTTATCTGGGGGGGGGGTGTATCAACAGCTCAGGAATGCATTATTTTTCAGTTAGAGAATTGAACTTATAGCCCTCTCAATGGGAACTCATGGTGGTACTCTAAGCTCATCCTAATACACATGGCTGGAGAGGTCATAGATCCTAAAGAAAACCCTATCTCTGTCATATCTCTAGACAAATGAAATTTCTTACCATATGCTAAATACGGATCCTTATATTTACAGATAGGCAAATCTTTCACTACTCATCAAAGAAGCTTCTTTTTTGCAACAGATGGAGGCTACTGCAGAATTCTATTTAACTGGCAAGACACAGAGAATATACATGTGCGAGACTCCTAGTCCTAGGTGACACACCTACAATTGAACCTCTACACCTAAGGCTCATGAAACACAGTAAAACGAAGGAAGGGTAGAGAGAAAAATAATGCATTCCTCACCTCTCACCAGTGAAGCTTCCTTATACAACAGAGTGTAATATACACAGAAGGCCACAACTGGCCAAGTTTTAAAGAACAGGAGACTGTGTATCCCTGGGTAGGACTCCTATATTGAACTTCACCCACCCAGGGCTCAGGGACCATTGTGGAAGAGGGGTGGAAAGACTGTAAGAGCCAGGGCTGGTTCATGAACACAGGGATGCAGAGACTTTCAGGCCACTGGAAGCTTGCACATGTGAACTTGTGGCAATGGTGGCATTGAGCACAGGACCCATGCCAACTCAATTAAACAAGGACGCAGAGAGAAGGAGAGAAATGGGTGGTGGGCCGGCCCTAGACTGGGAACTATTGGAGACTGATTGCTACTGAGAAAGGGAGCACATGCCTAACTTACAATCTCTAGATGGGCTGACTAGACTCCAGAGGACGAATCTGCACTGAAGGACATCTGGGTACAAATGCTTGACTGGACAGGACTTAACATGTATGGTGGAATACATGAGATTCCGTGGGGGGGGGGGGGATGGAAGGGCATGGATAAGGGAGGGTGTCTAAATTTGAATAAGAACTGTTACATGAAATTACAAAAGTTCATAGCAAATGATAGAACATCAAAACATTTATCAAGTTTTATTTTGCTAATACTACATTAAGAAAAATAAGTAGTTTTGTTCTTTAGTATTATGGTATAAAAAGAAATTGTAAACTGGGCCTAGCACAACTTTTGATGTCCTAATTTAAAGGGACAAATGCTAATTAGACATTACTTTATGAAGATATTAAAACAGACTGCTCATCAACCCAAGGCATTTTCTTTAAGTCTTATATTTTGACCAGTTCCACAAAACTATGTAAAATTCACCAACTCAATAAAATAAGTCAAATGTTTACATTACACTGAGCACCCCCCACCCTGCCCAATTTTTCTTTTGCAGTACTGGGGCTCTGGCATGTTAGGCCTCTGGCACGTTAGACCTCTGGCATGTTAGGCAAGCATTCTACCACAGTGCTATAGCCTCAACCCTTATTTACTTTTTATTTTGAGACAGGGCTGCACAACTTGAACTTACTACATAGCCCAGGCAGGACTGAACTTGCAATCCTCTTTCCTTGCCGCTCCAGCAGCTGGGGTTACAGCTCTAATCCTAGGGCCAGCTTACATCAACCATTCACTATGATTTTTACAAGGAATGAAAATCAATTGAAATTACCTAGCCGAACTAGGTAGGTACATTCTTAGAATAGTGTTAGCTATAAATCTCAAGAGTCAAAGACAATTGAGTCAATAAAGGAAAAACCAAAGTAGGAAATTTGATTCAAGTAATAATTCATAAAAGTGTCTTTCTTACATGAATAAAATGGATTTGCTAATAGGTATTGACCCAGTTACAGAAAGCACAAGTAGAGACTATCCTGTACTCAATCATAAAACATGAATGCACCACAACTATATTGTGCTTATCACTTCCACTGTTTAGATATTTTTCTCCAAGTGTTGGCAGATTTAAAAAATAAATTTGTGGGGCTGGAGAGATGGCTCAGCAGTTAAGAGGGCATGTTGCTCTTGTAGAGGGCCTGGGTTCAGTTCCCACCATCCACATTGGGTAGCACTCACAACCACCTACAAACTCCAGCTCCAGGACAGTCTATGCCTCTGGTCTCTATGGGCACCTGCACCCAGATGCTCATACCTACACAAAGACATACACACATACACATACTTAAAAGTCATAAGAATATACCTTTAAAAAAATAAGTTTGTGCCATTAAAATTGGGTTGCACCTCGAGGGCCTGAAATAATTGCAAAAGCCTAACATGACTACTTAATGAAAATCCAGTGTTGTATTGTATACATTTACTTTTATTGAACTATAAGACAGAAGTACAAAGGAGCTTTCACAAGTCAGATTTTAAGTTTAAAAAAAGGATGGAGCCTATTGTGATTAAAAGGCAGCTCAGCATCCTTAAGTCCACAATTACTTAAATATTTGTGAGGTATTTTCAGAAGCACTAAAAAAATTCAATATGCCAGTTTCCTTCAGAAATTAAACATCTCTCTCAACCTTTAAAGTGCCATAGCAAGGTCAAGTGGACATTTCAAATTCAAATTCAGTTTCATTCATAAAAACGTTTCCATCAGTTGTTAGGTAAAGGAACAAAACTGGTATGTTCACAACTCATCCAGGATCCTGCTCCTGATCGTGATTCAAAATCTGCAGCATCACAGTTTTCACACGCATGGCACAATTCCAAGCCACAGCAGTATAGAAAACACCAGTGCTTGGATCCAAAATTTGCTGTGTTTTTAAAAGCAATCATTTCCCCTTTCAACATGCCACTGTAATATTTAAGCATCTTGCATTTCAATAATAAACATGAAGCACCACTTTCCTAGTTTGGCCCATCCTTGAGAAAGGTATTATAGTCAGTCCAGAAGGAAACAGTTTTTTGCTCTGAAAAAGGAGACTGCATGCTTCAATGGTCTACCACTACTGGTGGCCTGTATTTTAATAAGAGAGAAACTTAAAAGTCTAATGTCTGACAATCATGTTTAATATGTCTATGAGCTGGAACTCTGTTACAGTGGCCTCTAAAGAGTTCTTTTACTAAGTTTTCATGAAACTTAAAAGTTCTGCATGAAACCAGCCAGAGCCCTCCCGATACACACTGTAATCTGACACTAGGCTGAAGACGTTTGACCAAGTTTAAGTAACTCAAGAGGAACTGTTTCCTGCTTTCAGTTAGAACAGTCTACACTGACCTGTGGTAACACTGCTAAAGCGGGGTTACTAGCGGGCACAGGATGCAATCAGGAAGTCAGACTCTAGCTCTCTTTTTGTTTCTAAGAAGCCATCCCAGCTCTCTCATTGATATTATAAAGGCAAAAAAACAAGAACGACCAAAAGAAGAGGTGGGAAACACACCCAGGCCAACTGTGTAGTTCCCTCTTCAACAACTGTGCATTGAAAAACAAACAGCTTTAAGAGAACTTCTGCATGAAATCAAATTCCTCCTCAGGGACCATGTCTGGGATAGTGCACCAGCCCCTGAGTGCAATCGGAGGTATACTCGACATTGGTTTATTTCCGCCTCACTTTACCTGGTCTGCTCCTGTAAGATGAGATGAGGCTCCACAAAGAACTTGACTCTCAGTTTAAGACGGTAAGGTGCCAGCCCATCCATCTGCTGGGAGATCCGGTTTCTCAGATTCAGCCATAAACTTTCACCTTTGCTACCCGTAAACTGCAGCCCAAAATAATCAACTTCTATGATTCCCAATCGCCTGCACACCTAAAACACAAGAACAAATGTAGCATGGGTGAGCCTGCAGTCAGCAAACCCAAGGACGCCATCAGAATGGAAGAGAGCCGTCTACTTTTTACAAAGTTCAACCGCGTTACAATTCCAGTTGCAAGCCAGGAAAACAGCACTTTAAGACATAAACGATGCCAAAACTCAGCTCTCAAACGGAGACTCATCCTTCCTCGGCTATATCTAGAGCGTGACCAATTGCAGGTCAGAGAAAGGAGTCCCCTCAAAGCAGCCTTCCCACAGGCGAGGAGAAGAATCCACAGGGTGTTTTCCTCCTATCCCAATCGCTGGAATTCCCTCCACTAGCGCCATCTGCACAGCTGATTTGGCAGCTGATTGTCTGGACAGTTTTAACCATCTGGATTCCAAAAAAAAACACATTGAGGAAACACGCCACAAGTGTCAGCGAAGCTTTACAAGCAGCTCTGCAAACATCTCAGGTCTGCAGGACCTGAAGACATTTCGATGGGATCAAACGTGTCCGCCACATCCATCATGCGTGCACCGTGGCGAGCCTTAAGAAAGCACACGCATGAAAGGACCCGAGCAGGGGACAGCCCCAACCTCCAGTCCTCTGGTCCCTCCGCAAGTTCCCTCTAGTCCTGGTCCCCCTGCAAATCCAGCGTGTTAGGTGAATGGTCCCCGTGAGCAATAGCGTGAGACGTGGGCCCAGCTGGCCAGCTAGGGACCCCCGGGGCCCCATCCTGCCTGGAGCCACCTCATCCCGGTATGCGAGTGGCTCTGCCCCGCCTCGCGGGGACCCCGCGGGGGCATCGCGCGCACACCTGCGGCAGGTGTGCCGGCTACCTTCCTACGAGGAAAAGTGCCGGGTTAGGAGGCCGGGTGGCTGCCCACGGTTTGTCCCGGTGCCCAGAGTTGGAGCTCCCACCGCCCCGTCTGCGTCCTCTGCGCCCCCCACAACCGCGGGGAGGAGGAGGAGGAGGAGGTTGGAGCCCGGCGGTCGGGCGCCGCTGCAGCAGCTCCAGGGAGCATCCCCGAGGCCTCCCGGCGACAAGCCCAGGGAGGGGGTCCCCTTCTCTGCCCGTCGCCCTCACCTGGTTGAGACAGTCCTCGCCGTTGGCTTTCGCCTCCACCTCCACCTCCATCAGCACCGCGTCCGGCCTCGTCACATAGCACAGCATGGCTGGGGCCGCCGCCGCAGCCACGGCCGCCTGTTCTCCGGTGTACGCGGGGTCTGTCGTCTCGCCGCTGCACGAAGCCGGCCCTGGGCTCCGCCACGAAGGTGCAGGCGTGCGGCCGCCTGCCCTGCACCCCACGCGGCAGCTACTCGCGTCCCCGGACCCCCTCGCTCGCCCGCTCCCGGGTGCTCCACTGCCGCGCTGCTCCGACAGCCCCACTGCCAGCGCCGCGACAGGACCGCCTCTTATATAGCAGCCCCGCCCCCTTCGGCGGCAGTGTCCGCCAATCACGGCGCTCCCGCCCCTCCTCCCCCTCCCCACCAGCCAATAAGAGGGCCCGCCAGGCCGAGGCCCCGCCTCCCAGTGCCGGCTGACCTCCCCGCCTCCGCCGCCCCGGGACAGGGCTGTCTGCGAGCTGGAGCTGCGGAAGGAGCGTAGCCCCGGGTACCGCCGCCGCCTCTGCCCGCTGGGCGACGCTGCTCCGACCGCCCGCAGCGCGGGGGACGGCCTTCTGTTCGGTCCCGGCTAGAGTGGACCGTACTCAAACGCTTCTACCGTTCTCCCACGTTCTCCCAAAGTGTGTGTCACGCCAGTGACAAACGCCTGTGGGCTGAGAAAGCAAAGAAGGGCCGGAACAACTGTTTTCCATCAAGATTTGCGTTGTTGGAAATCAGACTTCTTTACTTTAGACTTCCATCAGTTGTAAATAAAAAGCTTAATTCGAGTAGAAAAGTTTTTGCAGTTGATCAATAAAAAGCCAGGTACCCTGGCCTAGCTAGAAGCACTGTTCTTACTTAAACTCTTTCCAAGGATTTCTGTGTGTTGGGCTCTGCTCAATCAAAACACGGAGTGCTTTGCCCTGTGATGGGTTTACCCATACCATCTCACGTCTCATTCGTGCATTAAGCATTCACTGAATACCTGGTACTCTGCCTGTCCTCTCTCTCCGACCTCTTCTTGAGGGTAAAGGATTCATCCAAGGACCTAGCAGGTGAGTTAGCCTCAATAGCGGTGATAAATGATTAAAGGTCTGCAACTCTACTTGTATTTACTACTTCTCTTGACCAATAGTTTACTTTGCCTACCTCTTTGGTTTATAAGATAAGCCAGGAGATGTGGGTTTCAACCTTAGATTCTTGGAAAACTATCTTAGAAACCAAATATTTGCTCTGCCTTCTCCCATATCTCCCAGCTGGTGAGTCCTGTCCCTACCTCGTTTCCCATGTATCTCTGTCTCAGTGGTTATTATTTATTTATTTATTTATTTAATTTTTATATTTATTTATTTATTTATTTATTTATTTATTTATTTACTTATCTATTTAAGACAAGGTCTCGCTATATAGCTCAGGCTGGCCTGGAATTCTCAAGTGCTGAAATCACAGACATGCAGCTCATATCCAAGATCAGTGATGTTTACTTCTGATGAAGTAGGAAAGGTATCAAAGATGGCTAAAGCAATGGATCTTAACACAGCCCATGGCTGGCGAAAGTCAACTAGGGGAGAACTTGTTCTGCCCAAATCCTACCATCAGTACCCAGTGCAACCTCACATCTTTCTTTGTGTCTTAGGAGCTTGCATCGCAGTCATTCTACTTGAGTGTAAGAGGTTGATTGCATCAACCCGTTTCTCATTCCCTTCATTCCAAGCAGCAGATTTGGGAAATTGTTTGGGAGATACACTTAGATTACTGTGTCTAATCTATGCTCCATCTCTAGATATTTCAGCACAAGAAGAGGCACTATGAAGACAGCTATATTGGTTGAAGTTTTTGTTTGGAAAGGCAGAAACCAGCAAAAGGGAAGTTAGGGGACAGATTTGGGGATCTTAGAGAATCAGAGGATTCAAAAGTGGGAATGAAAACAGGGCATGCTGGCACATACCTTCAATTCCAGCACTCAGGAGGCAAGAGGCAGGTGGATCTCTGTGAGATCAAGGCCAGCCTGGTCTACATAGTAAGTTCCAAGTCAGCTGGGGCTACAGGGAGACCCTGTCTTAAAAAGACCAAAAAAGCAAACCAAACAAATAAAAAACAAGCAACCAAACAAAATAAGTGGTCATGAGTTGAAAAGAGTTGGGAACGAACAAAAATAAATAAAATAAACAAAAACAAAACATGAAAATAAAACAACACATTTCCATTTTTGCAGAACAATTTCTTTAAAAATGTCTTACTTTGGGTTTTGGCAGAGCTTGTTTATGGCTTTTTTTGCAAGAATGACTCTATAGTTATATGTTTTTTGTTGTTGTTGTTGTTTTTGTCTTTTTGAGGCAGGGTCTCCCTGTAGCCCCAGCTGTCCTGGAACTCACTATGTAAACCAGGCTGGCCTCAAACCCACAAAGATCCGCCTGCCTCTGCCTCCCCAGCGCTGGGACTACAGGCATGCGCCACCACACCCGGCTTATATTTATATGTTTTAATCCGAGGAGCTAAATAATTTGTAGAAGCACAGGAAATGTCTAGCAGGGTTTTTTTATTAATTTTAAATAAAATTTTAACAACCATCACTTATCTATGAAACCGTTGAGGGGTAAGATTGACAGAAATATTTCTAGTCTATATTTGTTGTATTCCTTCTATGGGATGGTTAGTTAAGATTCAATAATTCCAAAATTCAGAATCCTTAGATAAGGGCCAGAGAGATGACTCAATTGGTAAAGGTGCTTTCCACTAAGCCTGACAACCTGACTTTGATCCCTAAACCCACAAGGTGGAAGAAGAGAACTGACTCCCACAAGTTGTCCTCTGACCCTCATACATTTTCCATACACAGTAAAGTGTAATTTAAAAAAAAAATCACCAGATAAGGCTGAAGAAAAGAAGGAGCTTGTAAAGACAAAGGTAAAGGGTTGGGATTGTGGCTCAGTTGATGAGTGCTTGCCTAATATATACAAAGTCATGGGTTCAATCCCCAGCACCCATAAACTGTGCTTGATAACAAGTGTGCCCCCAGGCCCCAAATCCCAGCAGCACTTAGGAGGAAGAGGCAGGAGAATCAGAAGTTCAAGCTCATCGTAGGCTAAATAGAGAGTTTGAGGCCAGCCTGGGCTAGATAGAGTCCATGCCTCAATACCAACCAACCAACCAAAGAGGCACGGTGGGCTTGGTGGGGTGGCACATATATATGCCTGCTGCAATCCTAGCACTTAGGAGGCTGAGGCAGGAAGATCATAAGTTTGAAGCTAGCCAGGGCTACAGAGAGGGACTCTGTCAACAAACAAAAACAAACAAACAAGCTGGTAAAGTGCTTGCTGGACCTGAGTTCAGATACCTAGCACCCACATAAAATGCAGGCATGGTAGTATGTACCTGTATTCTCAGTGCTGGGGGGAGAAGACAGGAGGATCCCAGGGTTTTAGTGGCCAGACTGTCTACTAACTGGTGAGCTCCAGGTTCTGTAAGAGACTGCTTAATAATCATGACAATAATAATAATAATAATAATAATAATAATAATAATGTGAAGCATGACAGAGGAAAACACCTAATGTCAACATCCTCATGTACACACACAAACACATACAAGTATACTACATACAGACACAAAGTCAACCAACTGAACAATAGCAAACAAACAAACATAAACGATAAAAACAGGAAAAGGACACATGATAAGGAGAAAGAAACCCTGATGTCTGGGAAGAAAAGAATTCAGGCTTGTACTTGTGTGCACAGGGTATAGAAGATGATTCTCTCTCTTCCTTCCTGTAATTTTTTTCCCTTGTGATAAAATAGAAGCTGGTTAGTTAAGGAATGGGGAATTGGAGTGAGAAAGCACATTATGCTTAAAAGACTTGGTTAGGGAATAGAAAACCCACAGTAGAATTACTTCTTAGAAGATTCCACCATCTGGTAATGCTACCAAACGTCTGGAGCCAGTTTCAAGCCCCAGCTGAGTCTAGCTCCAAAATAAGAGACTGAACATCCGGGGCTGTAGGTGGAAAACGAATCAGATTAAGCTGTGACAGAAGCCAGGGAGGAGCTCCATGTTCTTGGTGTCTGCTTTTCTTTGCACTAGATTAGGGCATGGGTCCCATGTCTGTAATTCCTAGCACTCAGGAGGCTGAGGCAGGGGGATTGCCATAAATTTGAGGCCAATCTGGACTACATAACAAGTTCTAGGCCAGCCTGGGCTACAGAGTGAGCCCCTGTCTCAAAAACACTAAGTAAATAAAGCTTTATAATTCTGTAGCAAAGGGAAAGTGTTGCCTGTGTGAATATAATTTTTTTAAACAGAAACTATATCCAACTGCATTCAGTCCTGGCCATTCCAATACACCCAAATACAGCAGATTTCCCTTTTTGCTTCACATGTTTGGTTGCAAGACTGAACACTGGATGATAGCATCTGTAGGTTGCAATGTAATCTGATGGTCATCTCACTGCAAACTCTTCAGTCGAGCACGTCGTTCTGATCTACACGTCTGGGGAATCTATTCTTGCTCATTCTATGCTTCCCATTGCATACCGGGTGACAGAAACCCTGTGCTGGGTCATGGGGCAGGCTCTTGTGAAGAGAAGGGCCTACATCACCTGCCACACCCTCCCCCTCACCTCCCACAATTCATTAATAGAAGCAACAAGGAGGAACAGTTAACCCCTGAAAAAACTGTCCTTTTGGTTTCACACGTTATTCAAACCAATTATTCACATAAGTAACGCTTCATCAAGCATAAGTGTGTTAGAATGTGTTGAGTGAGCTGAAATTTCTAATTTGAAATATTAGCCTCGTGAAATTCAGGAGTAATTTAATTTGATCCTTGCCTACCATCAAAGCAGAACATCTCATTTCCTGAACTGACTGTTTAAAGGGGGAAGGAGGGGGCAGAGGAAGAACGGGCAATCCCTGGGCTGAAATCTGGGAGTGCAGAAGTGGCATGGCCTTCACTGGATACCTGTTTAAATGTTTGCTTGTTTTTCCTTTCTAGTTACGAGAATAGTTATGTTCAGTGGGGACCACTTAAAAAAGAGGAAAACAGTAACTTGTATTTCCTTTATATTTAGCACTGATACTTGATGTTGCTGTTTACATATACTGCATGCTAAATATTGATTGTGGGGTCAGTGAGATGGCTCAGTGGGCAAAGGCATTTGCTGTCAAGCCTGACAACCTGAGTTCAATCCCCAGGACTCACATGGTAAAAGGAGAGAACTGACTCCTGCAAGTTGTCCTCAACCTCCACAAGTATGCACACACACACACACACACACAC